GTTTTGGTACTTGTCCTGAATCTCGCTCTGTAGATCAGGCTGGCCTCAAACTCACGGTGTGGAAATAGTGTGAATTTGGATGGGAGGGGAGTGGGGAGAATCTCAGAGGAGTTGGGAAAGGCAAAACCATAATCAGAATATATTATGTGAACAAAATCTACTCTAAAGTAAAATATTTTAGAAGAATGTAAGAGTAATTATATAATTGTGATATTTGAGGGAAACTACAGACTATACTCTAGTAACAATTATTACTGGAGAAATTTCCAGAAAGTCCAGAGTAAATTTGTTTTCTATGTCTGACATCTACTACCCATTCAGACAATGGATAGTTTTATGTTATGGCCAGTGGTGCCCAGACTTGCTTTAGGGTCCATGCCTTTTTGTATGATAAATATTACCATATATGGTGGTACACAAGTTTAATACTAGCACTTGGGAAACAGACCTTTATGAGTCTGAGGACAGCCTCATCTGTATTGTGAGTTTCAGGCTAGCTGGGCTACGTAGTAAGAACCTGTCATTAAAATAAAGGACATTTATTTTAATATTATTTGCTTTTTGTAATATTCTTAAAATATTTAGGAAAAGTACAAACAAGCCAAGTAAATTTAAGTACCTGAGGATATAATTTAAAACTCATGCCATGGAAATTTGTTCAGAATTTAAGCATGCACACCAGAAAACAGGAGGTATTTCCTTGCTTCTGTGGCAAGTACTTTGTATTTATAATCCATGGCATCTTACAGATGATTGGCACCTTTCTTGCTTAATTGGTAGTTTGTAATACAGTAGGATGCCTTAAATGCCTTTAGTGAAATATGTAGCCATATAATAAATAACATGTTACAAATTATCAAACCATATATTAAGACAAAGGATTATCTTTTTCTTTTTGAGACAGGGTATTACCCTGCCTTCCAGGTGTCCTTGAACTTGCTATTCAGTCAAAGCTGACCTTGAATGTGCTATGCAGTCTGTGCTGGTCCCAAGCTTATATTTCTCCTCTCTCTGCTTTACATATGCTGGGATGATGGGATTGCATTTCAATCCCAGAATTTAAAGCAAAAGCTTCTGCAATGCTCATTACCATCTACTTCAGCAAGATAGTGTCTGTTTTTTCCTAATTTTATTGCCCACAAAGTTTTGATATTGTAGTTATTCTGTATGTATGCATATACATTTCATGTATATTTGTTTCATAAATAGGGAGAGTAAGATCTCTATCTCAGGACCAATTTTATTTTCTTTAGGAACTTTATTGCATACATCAAGAAAGTAGGCAATAAGGGAATCTTCTGTCAGGCTTTTGAAAATATTACTTACTATTATATTAGAACCATGGTTATTTCTTAGCTTTAAAAACTTTTGGCTTTAATTATATGCCACAACATTTAGGCATTGTATTATTACCGTAAATACTGTCAAAGTGCCTGCAAAGTCTGAACATTTGGTATTTACCTCAACAATCAGAAAGCTTTCCACAATATTTTTTAACAAATAAAAAATTTTCAAGTTCATCTAATGATGCCATTCAACATATTTTTCACTCATAAAAAGGCTATCTAATCTTTTCAATGAATAAATTTAGGATCTTAACAACTTCACTTTTACATATTCATGATTTCATGGTTTTGAAGGCATAACTTAAATAGTTCATCCATAATGAGACATTTTACAAACCATCTAATTTTCACAAAGACCTGTGCTGCTTTCTTCTTCACACATCACACTCAGCTGGGATGATGAAGCTGTCTAGGCACTTGAAGCCTCACTTTACTGCATTCTCAGCAGTCTGAGGTCACTTGCAACTTGAGTGATGAAGGGCGGAGCTCTGTCCATTTTGGCCCAGTGATTTGCACTTGATGGAAAAAGAGGTACCCTCTAAGACCACAAAGTTTCAGTGTTTGCTTGCAAAGCTTATCATTATACTCAACAGAGTATAATGTCTAATTTATAGAGAAAATGTAATTTATTTGGATAATATTTTTAAATAGTAAAATGATGTTCAGTGTATTTTCAAATGTTCACTAATTTTTTCCCTCTGGGCTGTGCAGTTCAACTTCCATTAAAAAAAGTAAACCCAAAGCTGCAAAAACCTAAAAACATTAACACATAAATCTTTAAACTTTTAAAGTTTGAAATTATATTTTGTATGAAATTATATTTATTAAATTTGAAAATTAAGATATGTATTTCTTTTCCCAAGTTATTTTTATTTTATTAATCAGCTATGTTGAAGACATGTGTGTCAAAATAATCAGTAGTTGCTATAGCAGATGTTAAATATTCTAGGAAATCAATAGACCAGAAAGAAGATGAGAAACGTTCAAGAAACTCATCATCAATATATAGATATCCATAGTAGCAAGGCTTCATCAATCCAGCCAAATGTACATAGGTAAACTTAAAACCAGAAATCATCTCCACCACTGCTTCTAGTACTTGCTCTTTCCCTGCCCTTTAATCGAAGCATCTCCATGATGCTCCGGGCATAGACATCTCTCAGGTTAACACTGATATATGAGTCAGTGGCAATATTCTTTGTAAGCTTCTTGAGAGCTTCCCGCTGTCTCACGGCTGCTTCCTTGAGTTTCAAAGTGAAGTAGCAAGCAGAGAAGCGATCATTAATAATGGCAATAGGCAAGGCCAAGACAAGGATTCCCGATAGGATACACATGAAGGCCACAATTTTGCCTGTAGTGGTGTCTGGTCTAATGTCCCCATATCCAACTGTAGTCATGGATGTCGTGGCCCACCACCATGCACAAGGAACACTTGTGAAGGTTGTGTCAGGAATGCTTTGCTCTGCAAAGTATTCTATTGTTGAAAATATAGAAATCCCCACAGATAGAAACAGGAGCAGTAGGCCAACTTCTTCATAGCACTGGGTGATTGTCATCCCAAGAGAGCGCAATCCTGCAAGAGAAGAGCTGCTGTCAGGCATGAGCATCCTTCTTTGCTTTCCTTCTCTCCTTCCCCTCTCCCTCCTAGAAATCCACCCACAAGCATGTTCTGCATAACTAATATGCTGAACAATGTTCTGGGGGATACAATGAAGACTAAATCATGACCTCTGTTTTTCAGAAAGCTTATAGTCTTTTTAGTGGGGCCAGGTTTGAACGATAAAGAGAAATGTAACTATATTCATTTACTTGTATAATCCTTGGGTTCATGCTATTTCTGTCTTTTTTTTTAATTTGAAAACATGAGACTGAAAGACAGACAGAGGCTGTCTTACAGGAGTTTATCACTTCATATTATCAAAGTCCTTTGCCAGGATGTATGTGGAGGGCTCACATGATCAAAGCTTCTTTTCAATATGTCATTTCAGATACTTCTTTTTATTATTATTTTGATGTTGCTGTCATATATTTTTGCCTCTTATTTTCTGACTCATGATAAAGATTAATTCAATCAGAGGCTTCATTGACTGAAATCCAGAGAGGAAGGATGTATTCCATGGCAATGAAGTAAAAACACAGGAGTAAGTTAGGCACCAGTGACACCACAGACATCAAATGCATATCCAGAACACATTCTTACTAGTACATAAGAAGGTTCTAGAATTCTCAGAATACCCATTAAAATTCTAGTCCTTATCTCCCTTGACCATATGATGTTTCTGATTTCCTGTAAGAAGATAAAAACTAAGCAATATTTTTTTTCATTGCAAAAATATGTATGAATGGAAGAACTAGAGAAATTTACCAACTATCAGGAGATCCAGACCTATGGGAGTCCTGTAACACCTGTAAAAAGCTTATGTGCTAAAGAAAGCAGCAAGAGCCCATTATAAACCAGGCTTTGAACTAACCAGTGAGAAACCTTTTCCAAGGTTAGACAAATGTTTCTTTTGAAGTCATACCAACATGACAGCACAAATAAATTGTCTTGAAAGCCCAAATTAATAAAAAGAATACTTTTCATTTTTATTCACCCTTAGCGATTATTTGAAACGCATTATTAGAATACTACCCACAGTCTATTTATTTTGAAGTTTTCTCTTCAAATATTGAGATATTTTGGTCTTATTATCACCTATTTTAAAAGAACAATGCACATTAACTTTGAAGTTTAACTTCAAAAGAATATCCAGAATAACTTTGTAATATCTCATTAGAAAAATTGTCTTTAGTGTGTCTATATAGAATGACAGTTTAGAAATAAATTGACATAAGTATAGTGTTTAGAACAACTGATTTCACTTAAAATAAAATATCATCCACATAACTAAATTCAGACACTCCTCAAAAATACCATGTGACAGATGTTGTCACTGTTGTGTTACTTTACAGATGAGGAGTTTGACAGTCACAGGGCTGGTGTATCTAGTACAAAGCTACAAGACTGGATTTACACCAAGACTGTCAAGGATCCTAACCATTATTATATAATATCTCTCAACAAATGTTCCAAATATGTGGGGACTCATGATGTTTTTGGCCATATTTTCTAAATGTTATATTTGACATAAAACTATCAAATATTCATGTATTTGTTCTACACTTTAAATAAATTAAGGCTTTGTTAATACTTTGTACTTTCTTTAGAACTGAGAAAACTTTTGAAGGTGACAGTGTGGAAATTACTATTATTTCCCTTTTCTTTTCTTTTGGAAAAAAAATGTAGCTCTCAGTGTTTTAGAAATTGAATCCTGGGAAGAGTTTATAAATACTCAAAGAAAGCATCCCATTATCTGTGTCAGGAAACAAAGAGTGTTACTTGTAAAAGTTCTTGGAAACCCCATCATCAGATCCCTGGTGTGTAAGACTAGCTAGGAAAATACACAAGTAGAATTTTGTAGGGTGAGTCTTAATTACAGAGATGTAAAAAAAGAAATTTCAGGTTAATTTCTTCCTACGTTAATAGGCAGACATAGCTACCACCACCCTTACAGTGGTCATTCAGATATATCTTTGTGAACATTCACTGCAGTAGTACTCTGTAAACACATTGTGTGTATATACATTTGTACTGTATTATTATGCATGTTGCTCCAGTGTTTCTCAAAAACACATGACTCCCCAAATACCTAGCTCAAAAATAATTGCATACCTATCAAAGTGCATGGTCCAGAAAGTAATCCATCTACTAAAATTTTACCTTCTGACAGCTGGGGTTGAGAATTTACATTTCAACAAACTCATGGAAATATTCTCATTTTCTTTTAAAGTATAACTTTATAACCCTAGAATATGCATTAGTCAGAAAACCAACTGCTGAGCACCATTACTTTCAGAAAATACAAGTTCTCTTTAATTGCTCTGTTCAATTTCCATTGGCATTGGCTCTAATTTTCAAGGTCAGGTTTGTGTGTGTGTGTGTGTGTGTGTGTGTGTGTGTGTGTGTGTGTGTTCTAGAAAATATTCATTTGATCTTTCAAAGTTTAATAAATTCTCAATAACTAAGTAAGGCATTTAGTTACTGCCATCTCTTTTTTCCAAAGATTAATGATTCTACTTATTCATCAAAAACTAGAGGAAGGCCATCAACACCTGGCCATCTCTTGTCTGCCATGATTAAGGAAGACTCTTCTCTCCAGTCAAGAATAAAATTATATATATATATATATATATATATATATATATATATATATATATTTGGAAGTGGAATACAAAATAGCTAATAGCCCAATGTATAGCATATAATTTATATGCCATTTATGTATGTTGTATGTTTGACCTTTGAGAAGAAAAATGTATTTATGTATGTGTATATATATATATATATATATATGTGTGTGTGTGTGTGTGTATACATATACATATATGTGTGTGTATATACACATAGCACTGAGATATAATAAAGTTAAAAGTTAAAAGATGATCAAATTGTTCCACAATGCCCTGTAAACAGAAACCGTGTGAGAGATAGCTCTATGTCTCTGATAACATCTTGAAGATTTTGCTTTCTAGTACTTTTTAAGGGGTGAGAGTTGGGTAAAGCTGGAAGGTGGTGATGTGTTCAACTATTTAAAGCTTGTTTTTTGTTTGTTTGTTTGTTTGTTTGTTTGTTTTCAAGACAGAGTTTCTCTGTGTCCTGGCGGTCCTGGAACTTGCTTTGTAGACCAGGTTGGCCTCAAACTCACAGAGATCCACCTACCTTCACCTCCCAAGTGCTAGGATCAAAGCTTTTAAACAAAGGGAAATTAAAAGGCACCAATAAAATAGGAATACCTGTAGAATGCCTTCCCAGTTTTAGCATGCGAAGAGCCCTGAGGAGCCTCAAAACCTGGACCAAGCGCCCCACATTTTCCAGCTCCTGTGTGGTGTGGCTGCCACTCAGACTTTCCACCAGAAGAGTTATGTAGAAGGGCAAGATGGCAAGGAGGTCTATTATGTTGGGTACCTTCCTCAGGAAGCGGCACCTGTCTTTCACACACAGGAAGCGCAGAATGAACTCCCCTGTGAACCAGCTGATGCACACATATTCCAAGATCTCCAGCAGCTGTAGGTTGAGCCAGCTTAACTCAGCTGACATCAGGGCCATGTTGACGATGGACACTGCCACAAAAATGATGGAGATTACTCCAAAGATCCTGGCTGCTGTGGAAGACCCAGGTTTCTCCAGGATATCCCAGAGCTTTTGGCGGACAGTGGGACAAGGTCCTTGTGAGAAGTCCTGTTCACTCTCATGTTGACTTTCCTGGTCATCTGTGTCCTTCTTAAAGTCAAGCGTTTCACTCAGCTCCTTTCTTCTGAAGTATCTTTCAGGGAAGACAACTTTGTAATTAATTAAACACACACACACACACACACACATACACACACACACACACACACACAGAACTACAAGAGAATTAAATTTGACAAAGAGGTCACACTTACATAGTGATAAAATATAGAAATATATTAATATTTTACCCAGGGTGGTCCCTGCCAGTCCCACTTCTGACTTTTTAAACAACAATTTCCTAGTAGAAATTTATGGAAACAGGATTTATACATAACTAGGCAATTTTGGATCAATGAACTTTTGTGACTTATTTTCTGGTGACGAACATCTGTTTGTCACCTGGAACATTTGTGTGTACAAAAGAAAAACATCCATGAAGGAGTGATAGTAGTGACAGGTCAACAATAAGTCACTGTCAGAGCCTATAATAATCATCTGAGAGATGAACTCTCATTAAGGGTCTGAAGAGGTCCTTCAAGCAAGTTTTTCAGAGTTCAAGTTCTGATATGATGAATGATAATAATCCAAACCCTTCCATTCCTGTGTATCTTTTCAGACATAGGTTTTTTGGTTTTTTTTTTTTTTTCTTTCTGACTCAGCTACTTAATTACCAGGTGTTTACACCAAGTCTGATCAGCCTGGGCTTTCATAAGAAGTCAGAGTATTAGTCTCTGGAAGAAATTGGGCAAGGAGTTTTGTTGTTGTTTTGCTTTTAAAGTTCAACGCACAAGTTGACTTTAGGATTGATTTCTGGCCTCACACAAACACCTTACCTTCCAGTCAAGAGGCGGACACATCTATTCACGAGGCTGGAGTAGGCAAGTTTATGCACAGCCTCGAGTCTTTGCCTGTGCTTTCTTATCACCCTCTCATGCCTTCCCACCCAACTGCCGCGCCCTGTGGGTACCTGTCCCTGCAGCAGGAGTCGATGCTGAGTTCGTCGATGCCCCAATACTGGATCTCCTGAAGAAAGGAGAGAGCGCACAGCTGTTCCATGACGTGCAGGCGGCCGGTGCGGTAGTAGTGCAGGACATAGCGGAACGCCTGGGAGCTGCGGTCGAAGAAGTACTCGTTGTCCACCGGGTTGGCATCATCACAAAGCTCCAGGGGGCTGGGAGCGGCTGCCAGGGCTCCCAGGCGGCGATAGGAGGCCACCACCACGGCTAGCTTGCCCAGGCGCGTGTGCGGGAAGCAGGACAGAGCCTGCTGCGAGAGCACGAAGCGGCTGCCGCCCACGTTGACCGTGAGGCAGTCCCCGAGAGCCAAGGGTTCCCCTTCGCCCTCGCTGCAGAAGACGCTGGAGTCCAGCGAGGTCAGCGAGCCGCTGTCCAGCGACGACGAGTCCAGCAGCGGCCGGCGGCGGGGTGACAGATCCATCCTGACCACCTTGGTCTAAGAGCACCGCGAAGTTGGGAAGGCTCTGGATGAAAGCCTGGGTTCCCGCGAGGGCGGTGGCACGGCCCCTGCTGGCGGCAGGGATCTCCCAGGCTCCCGAGGGAGAGGCCTCCCACTTGCGCACCCCGACTCTCTCCACCCCCCACCCCCCCCCCCAGCTTGATGGCTGATGTCGCTAGGGAGCTGCGAGTGCGCGGTAGAGCGAGGAGGCTGGGAGAGCAGGAGTGGTCGCGCGCAGAGGGAAGCGGTCATGCAATCATGGGTCGTCCAGGGAGGAAACAGCCCCAGGACACAGCCTGTCCCGATGGCCCTTCCTAGATACAGGCAGAGCCTTCTCTCAACTTTGTAATTGAGACCCCTAGGCTACACGGTTCTATGGATTGTATATCTGGCGAGTCCAGTAAAGGAGCTGGCAAGGGAGGGAATGGGAAGATCCAGAGGGCACAAGCAGAGAGAGAGAAGGACTCGGTCAGGTGCTAGGAAGCAGGATGGTGACCCTCGCTGTTGCCCATTTGCAGACTGAAAGTTGTGAAAAGAGGCGGTGATAGAAGGATCTGAGTCCCAACTTGAGTAATTATAACCGTCCCTCTTCTATTGTAAGGTATTCAGTCTGCTATGTTCTCTAGGGCTGTGAACACGTGGGGGAACATGTCTGGGGTACCCGACTCAAGATTTCCTCCCACTTCTCTCTGGTTCCCATCTGTCATTCATGCTAGATTTTCTCCTCTCCTCCCTTAGGTTTCCAGCTCTTAGTTGAAAAACAAGGCTCGCTAATGCTTCTAGTTGAAGTTCCAGTGGGTCGTTAAGAACTGGGGGACTCCAGGCTGCCAGGTGCCCTTGAGCATGGGGATACTGCACACTTCTTAAAATTTCTCAGAAGAGGCATTCTAGGCGCGTTCTCCAACACAAAGGGGAGCTCTCACTTTAGGAAAAGGAGGAAGGCAGAAAGACAAGGAATAGAACAAGCGTGGGCTGATACAAGGGTTTAAATAACAGCGACCCCACGGTTAAAGGAGAAGCCAAGTTCAGGAGATCAGCTGAGATTGGCTGAGTGCCTACCAGCCTCTTAGAGCTGCGTCCCCTGCCAACCTGTTGGACACAGGGTTGGAAGGGTGGGAAGGAAGGACAGCGACTCACGTGTAACTTCTGACACTCCTGGGAGTTGCTCAGCCACTGTAGCTGATATTGTAGCGGTTCTTTAGTCCCTTCTGACTTACACGTGAGAATTCTGACTGATGAAGGGAAAGCTGCTCACAACACAGATCATAGCCTGCTTTGGCTGCTTCGCTCTGCCTGCACCTGCATCCTGGCTCCTGGCCTCAGGATTCTGTTGAGAGTTCGCCCCGCCCTTGCTCAGTGCTCCTCTTGAACCAGCGTCCTGAGGTGGCCAGCTCCTTAAAGAAGAGTAGAAGGTGAGGAAAGAGGGAGGAAAGGAGTGCTTAGTGACACTGCACATTGCATCTGTGTGAAGACGCTTCAAGAGTTGTTGCATTTGATTTTCATTCCTCACCATCTGCGTCTACAAAATGTTGCAACATTTCCAAACCGGTGAAGTGCTGTGTAGCAGGGTTAGGACAGTTATATTTTACTTTCCAAACATGGATAAGGATTTATCATTATGTCTAGCAACCATTTAGGCTCAGTATTTCCCAGTGTTTGCCACAGAAAGTGAACCAGACTTTTTTTTAATAAGTAGTTTCAGAATTTATATAGCTTATTGTAGTGAGAAAAGCTTTTGCATAGATGGGACAGACACTTGGTTGTCTAGTTCAGACTTTGCCACCTGACTCTGGGACTCTTCATTATTATTTACTTTGCAGACCTGAGTGCCTTAGCAAGATATCCAGTGTTAATAAAGAAGACCAAAAATTTATTGGCTGCTAACTCTATATCAAGACATTTTGTAGACACTCTACTATTTCAATATCTTATTTAGTCATAACAACACCATGAGATGTCCATGTGCTCATTTAATGGAAGAAGAAATGGAGACAGAGAAGTTAAACGTTTATACCCATCCAACACATATTCAAGTATAGCAATAAATGTCAAAAGGTGCCTCCATAAGTTAAACGTGGAGACGATCATTTTTGTTGGTTTTCAAATAAATGAAAGTAGGATAACTTTTGCTTTATGTTTCTAATGAAGGGCCAGAGTTAATGATGTGCTGGGCATATATTCTAATATATGCTTAATATATGCTGGGAAGAAAACAGGTTAGATTGTGAAATGTTCAGCTAGGCAGTGAGAACTGCAGAGCAATTTCACTAAATTCTTTTAATTCTGATGTTTCTAGGTTATAGTTCTATTAGTAGCTATCTTTTTGGTTAACTTTTACTTCTCTAAAGAACTCTTTCAAGAGAAAATAAACAGACAGAATTATCCAAGCAAACAGTTCATCAATATGTTTAGATACTCTGTTGTATGGAGAGGTGGCTCAGCCATTAACGGCTAGGCTCACAACCAAAAACATACAATATGTTTAGATACTCTGTTGTTTTGCATGCCCTTTTATATTGAGGATAAAATTTCTTTGTAATTATAGATGATTTAGGTATTGAAAGAGGAAAAAGTTCATAGTTCTGTTAAGCCTTATGATCAGTAGTAAAGGACTACACTAGCCTTATGGATCCTAGCAAGGAAACAGGTAAAATTTACAGAACTACTATAGATGTGGAAAGTGATGGGGTCTTATGGGTGACACTGGCAGATCCCTGACCCTCAGTTGTGATGAACAGTGTTCTATGCAAGTAATAATAATAATAATAATAATAATAATAATAATAATAATAATAACCATCTTTGGGAGTATGAAGATGTCATTCAGTGGGTAAGAGCACTTGTTGTGCAACCATGAGGACCTGAGCTCAAATTTCTAGAACTCATTTAAAACCCTAAGTTGGTGGCCTGCCTACTCCAGTGCTCTACAGGGGCAAAGAAAGAAAGAAAGATTATCGGGGCTTGCTGGATGTTAATATAAATCTGGGTTCAGTAGATCCTGTCTCAAGGGAATAAGCTGGAGGGTGATAGAACAGAACACGTCAAATTCTCTTCTGGTCCTTTGCCTACATAGGCACATGAACACACACACATGCATATATATCACATATGCCACACACATACACATATGAATTGTGACTCTTTAAGCATAAAGCCCTTTACTAAGTATCTGAATTCTCAAAGTGCTCATATATACTAGCATTGCCATTATGACATTCTTCAGATTGTCTCTTTGATGACAATTGTGAAAATAAATGTTAAAACTCATTTGAAACACGTTGGAAATTCTATTATAAAATAAAACCATGGTGGGCAGCGGAGGCTCATGCCTTTGATCCCAGCACTCAGGAGGCAGAGCCAGGCAGATCTCTGTGAGTTTGAGGCTAGCCTGGTCTACAGAGCAAGATCCAGGACAGGCACCAAAACTACACAGAAACCCTGTCTCAAAAACAAAACAAATAAATAAATAAATAAATAAATAAATAAATAAATAAAACCATATTTTTATTTTGAAAAATAGTATTATTATACTAATTTTATACTCAACCTATCTGGAGTCCATTTGGGGGACATAATATGATGTGTCTGTGAAATTACTCTTGATATTAGTGTTTCAAAATAATGACAGCACACAGATATGATCTTTTTTTTTTTTTTTTTTTTTTTTTTTTTAGTTTTTCGAGACAGGGTTTCTCTGTGTAGCTTTGCGCCTTTCCTGGAGCTCACTTGGTAGCCCAGGCTGGCCTTGAACTCACAGAGATCCGCCTGGCTCTGCCTCCCGAGTGCTGGGATTAAAGGCGTGCGCCACCAACACCCCAGATATGATCTTAAATCATTGAAGTTTTATTTAAGAAAATATATATTCACTATTGATTTATATCCCAAATCCTTTAACTTCATAGTTTTTTATGATTTGATAAGGAAATTTGATGAGAAAGTAATATGAATAAAAAGCTTTAAAGAAGTCAACTTGGAAAAATTCTACTTTTTCATTTTTAATCCCATCTATCTAGGCTCATACGTTTACATGAAATCCCCTTAAATTCTATTATTCATTGACAAAGGAGATGGCATTTCATGCAGTGCATGCATCAGTTTGCCTTGTATTTGATTTCTCAGAGGTTGACAGCTACATAAGTCAGTTATGTGGATATTTAAAAATGCCTTTGTGTATGGATAAAATGGTTTTGTTCCCTTCCTCCTCATAGCACTGGGATATGTTGAAAGGGTAAAAAATTTTGATGACTTCTATGTATTCATCTTTCATGTGCCTTCTAGGTGCTTGGAATAAATCCTCCCAACTGTATGACAGCCCACTCTAATGCAGAATTTAGATTAATGTGGGCTTGTTCTGGATTCCTTCCAAGGGGAGGCAATTATCTTTGGAAGTACCCAAGAGCTCATTTTTATAGCCTAGTCTGCTACAGAGATAGAAGCATGCGCTGACAATGGTGGTGGTGACAATAACATCATGGTACAAATAGCTACTACCTTTATGTGTTTAACTCATGTTCTGTCTTGTATTGGCTGTGTAACCTGAACAAGCTGCCTCATTTTCTTTATCTATTAAACAGGAGCAATGACCATGCTTTATGCTATTGTTTTAAAATTAAATGAGATATAGAATGTTTCCTGCAGTTCCATGCTTCTTGTTTTTTATGATACTTTTTAAAAGACATTTTTAAAATTTTTGTGATTATGGCATAATTACATCATTTTCCTTTTCCCTTTCTTTCCCCTAAAACCTCCTGTGTACCCACATTTTTAATGTTTTAGGAGTGTTTTTTCTGATATCCATCTCCTCATACCTCACTAAGAATTTACTATGTGATAGGCACCACACTAAGAACTTGATAACATTATCTTTCATTGTTTATATACCATGGAACCTTTCAGAACCGATAGTATTATTATGTTACAGATATAAAAGAAAGAAGAGATCCTTGCAGTCATTTCCCATGTGTCACATAGATTGAAGATACAGATTTGACTACATTTGTTCAATTTAAAGTCAGAATTATTTGAAAATTGTTGCTATAAAATAGCACCTTAATTTGCAGGAATCAATGAAAATCTTTTAACAAATAATTTTAAAAGGAAATATTTACTTTTATGCTCCAAATAATTAAGACATTTGCTGTGTTATACAGACAATGGTCAAAATAGTGTCTGTTAATTTCACTTTAATAATTGAAATTTTTCTCTAAACATGATAGATATAATGCCTAATGGGCTATTTTATGATTTTCATTATTCACTATGATCATTAGAAGGCATACATCAAATTTTCCTGGATTATCCAGAACATATCGAGTAGGCACTTACTGTTCACTGATTAACTCCTGTAATTACCCTTCAATTAAACTTTTGTAAACAAGATTTAGAAGCAACAGTGCAGAAGCAGCTCAAGTGCTGTGAGCCTCATACTCACGAACTGTTAATTGAACCCAACATTGAACTTGAATATTCCAATTAAAATCTCCTCCTCCTCCTCTTCCTCTTTGTTTTTTGAGACAGGGTTTCTCTCTGTAGCCCTGGCTGTCCTAGAACTTGCTCTGTAGACCAAGCTGGCCTCAAACTAGATCTGCTTGGAATTCGGCCATGCTCCGGTGAGTAGATGGACAACATAAATGGGACATTTTTTTTCTTCCTC